AATGAACTGGGATGGTTCCTACTCATTAACTATCTTGTGCACATAAGAGCACTTTGTATGCGTTCCTCAATTTGAAACATAAAACCTTCTGATATCACAACAGCACTGACTCCTCTATTATGCATTCTTGACAAAAATTTGAATTAACCACAAGGTTGGTGGTTCGATCTCGGGCCAATGATGGAGCCGGCCTTTTTAACCAGTTTATTGAGTCTGTTAGTGTCTCCGGCTCCAATGCTGCTCCCCCAGCAGACTACGTTGAAGTACAGTGCACTGGCCACAACAGACTGATAGAACATCTCCAACATCTTGCTGCACACGTTGAAGGATCGGAGTTTCCTCAAGAAAAAGAGTCGACTCATCTCCTGCTTGTACACAGCGTTGATGTTGGCCTTCCAGTTCAGTTTGTTGTCGATGGAGATACCCAGGAACTTGTACTCCTCCACCATGTCCACATCCTCTCCCAGAACTCTCAGCGGTTGTGGAGCCATCGTCTTCCTCCTGAAGTCGACCACCATCTCAATGGTCTTGGCCACGTTCAGAAGCAGGTGATTTCTACCGGTCCACTCCACAAAGTCATCCACTACTGCCCTGTACTCCTCCTCCCGTCCGTCCCTTATACACCCGACCACTGCAGAGTCATCAGAGAACTTCTGCAGATGGCATAACCCTGAGTTGTACTGGAAGTCAGTGGTGTACAAGGTGAACAGGAAGGGAGACAGAACAGTTCCCTGTGGGGCTCCAGTATCACTGACCACCGTATCAGACAGCACACGGCCCAGTCGGACAAACTGTGGTCTGCCTGTGAGATAGTCAGTGATCCAGGAGACGGTGGACGCATTAACCCCCACCACCCGCAGCTTCTCACTCGGCGGCACTGGTTGGATGGTGTTGAATGCACTGGAGAAGTGTTTGCAGAGGTGTTTGTGAGGTGAGGTGTGTGGAGGAGACAGATGAGGGCTGTGAACTAATATTGAAGAAACAGTTTAGCTCGTTTGCCCCCTGGTTGTCTCCCTCCAATCTTGAAGCCAGTTATCTGCTTCATCCCGGTCCACACCTCCCTCACCTTGTTCTGCTGGCCTCCAGCTTCCTCCTGTAAGAGTCCCTGCACTCCCTGAGCTTCACCTTCAGGTCGCGCTGAACTCTCCTGAGCTTGTCCCTGTCCCCAGACCTGAAAGCTGCTTTCTTCTTATTAAGAAAAGCTTTAAGGTCACTGGTGATCCATGGCGTGTTGTTAGGGAAGCAGCGTAGAGTCCGGGATGGAATGGTGGTTTGTTCACAGAATTGAATGTATTCTGTGATGCAGTCCATCATGCTGTTGATGTCCTCCCCATGTGGTCCACACAGCACATGCCAATCCGTTGACTCAAAGCAGTCCTGCAGTCCTGCATATGGTCCTGTTGGATTGCATTACATTCTATGGTGTTCTTGTTATTTTGTCCACTCCCTGTCCTTGGCCTTAATGCCTTTTTGCAAGATCATGACAACATTATAAGTATTGTTTCATTGGCTGCTGCTTGAACTGAGGAGGAGTATTCAAAGAGAAATTGAATAAAAGCAGAACCAGATAGAGATCAACGTAGAATAAAGACAGACTCTCGCTGCACCAGGAAAATGCTGACTGGTAAGATACTTTCATATAAGTGCATTGCTTTTAGATTGCATTAACAGAAAAGGTGGTATATCTTTTCTTACCAAATGGATCTGAAATAAGGATGCATAAACCATATTTTTTAGTTAATAGGTAATATTTTCTGGGCACAAGAGCAATTGAGTGCAATGGGTTAAAAGTTAACTTGCAATTTAGCACAAAGTACTATATGACTAATTTATCCAACTTAAGACTAAAGTGGGAGTTATTATAGAATATGTACCAGGACGGAAGCATTCTAACACAAAATAATAAAAACTACCAACCAGCATACAGTCAATAAAGACAGATCATTTACGCTTTCTGGTTCTAAAAGTAATTCAATGATCTGTTTCTCAATGCATATTGCAGATCGTGTTGAAGATACGAATGCCTAAGGAAGCCCATTTCCGCTAGCAAAAACAAAGTTAAAGTTAATGGGTTTTTTTTGTTGGCGGAAAAAATGCACCAACACTTTTGCTGCATCCATGTAACCATGACACTAACCAAATGTTTCCTGTTGCTGTTCAATGAAGGTGGCCACCTCAGCCACATCGGTTTTATTCTTTCTACTCCAGAGCTGCTTCTTGCTTAAAATCCTTTCAAGGGTGCGTTTGCTGAGTACAATCCCACGTGAAGTATTTCATGTGTTGTAAAGCCACGTTTAAAGTAGTCTTCAATGTACTCACAATCCATTTCTATGTCAAATGTAGGTTAACCTGCCAAAGAGCTGCTTCTATGACTGTTGTGTTAAAGTATCTCATAATTTCGACTTTCTATCTCATAATTTTGTCCGAAGAATTCATAATTCAAAATTCAAAGTTATTTTTGGTCAAAGCCTTTCTATCCTCAAAATACCCTGAGAAAGTTATTCATGCTTTTATCACCTCCAGACTGGACTACTGTAATTCTTTGTATGCTGTAATCGGCAAAACATTTCTATCACGCCTTCAGTTGGTGCAGTACTCTGCAGCGAGACTTTTAACTGGTACTCGCAGACGTGAACACATTTCACCAACCTTAAAATCCCTTCGTTGGCTACCAGTAGAGTACAGAATTAATTTTAAAATGTTATTTGTTTTTAAGTGTTTAAATGTTTAAATGGCGCCGCCCCAGTCTATCTGTCTGACCTGCTGCAGCCATATGCACCACCTCGCTCACTAAGATCTCTCGGCCAACAGCTTTTAGTTGTTCCGAAAACAAAAATGACAACCGGTCCAGCTCTGGAACAACCTGCCCCTTCATATTGTTAGGTTGTCATCCACCTTACCAATGTTTAAAAGCCGTTTAAAAACCTATTCATTTTCTCTGGCCTTAACATGGCACTTTTGTGTGATTTGTGTCAGTTTGTCTTGATTTTAATGTCACTTACTGTTATTAATCCAGTCTTTGATTGTATGACTGCTTATCTACTGTATGTGCAGCACTTTGGACAACCTTTGTTGTATTTTAAAATGTGCTATACAAATACATTTTGATTGATTGATTTTCTTTTTTTGTAACCTAATTTTTGTTTTGTTTTTGCTGGCGGAAATGGGCTTTCATGAATGTCTGTATTTTCACAAATGTTTTTTTTTCAATAGATAACATCACCACTGTGCCTGCGCCGGCGCCTGCGTATCAACCAGATGGATTAGATGGGGTTAAAAAAACTGTGCAAATGGTGGTCCTGGTCCTCTACTGCGTGATATTTATGGCTGGGACTCTGGGCAACGGTGTGGTCATCTATGTGACAGGCTGCAGGATGAAGAGAACAGTCAACTCAGTTTGGTTTCTCAACTTGGCTCTGGCTGACTTCCTCTTTACAGCCTTCCTGATTTTCAAGATCATTTCTGTCTCTCAGGAGCAACAATGGCAATTTGGACAATTCATGTGCAAGCTCTTCCACTTTGTGAGTTTAGTCAACATGTTTGCAAGTGTCTTTCTTCTGACAGCCATAAGTCTGGACCGTTGCCTGTCGATCTGGGTGGTGGTGTGGGCACACAACAAGCGCACCGTTCGCAAAGCCCAGGTCATATGCGTTGTCATCTGGATGACTGCTGCGGTCTGCAGCACCCCTGATGCCACCTTTCGGCAGCTTGTGTTAATAGAGGAGAAGTTTTACTGTTCTTATTTTGTAACCACACCATTTTGGAGTCTCTACATGTTTCGCTTTGTCATGGGCTTCCTCATCCCTTTCCTGGTAATATTGGTCTCTAATGTGGCCATAGGTGTTCGTACAGGGCGCATGCAGACGACCAGGAAACAGAGATCTCGCCGAATCACTTTCGCTATCATTGTGGCATTCTTCATCTGCTGGTTGCCATTACACATTATTTATATAATAGAATTAAATGCCCAGACTAACCCAGATCTCTGGAAGATTGTTCAAATTGGGGGTCCTCTGGTTCATAGCCTCGCTTTTTTGAACAGCTGCCTGAACCCCATTCTCTATGTTTTCATGTGTGATGAATTCCAGAAGAAGCTCAAGCAGTCCATATGCTTTGTCCTAGAGAGTGCCCTGGCAGAGGACCACTTGTCATTCATGTCTTCTCGCAGCTTGTCGTCACACTTTTCTCGGGTAACCCGGAAGTCTGACTCTACTGCACCCGTGGAGAGGCAAGGCACATCCACTTCTTTGAACTCAGAAGAAAGCAAAGTGGGCATCACTGTGGAGAGAGAGAGAGAGACGGGCAGCACTGATTAGGACTGCCATCACAGGACGTGTAAATCTAATGTGTCCACATCAAACTTAGGGAGAAAAGAGCACAAACATGTTTGTTACAAATAACATGTTGAATTGATTTGGTCAGTACATCTGTGAATAGAAAAAAAATTGTTTAAATATTTGCTATGTGTGATTTCAGTGGGTTTATTTTGGATTACAGCCACTAATACTCACAATCAGGTGTCTACAATTATGGTTGATAAAACATCCTCATTGACTCCCTTGTTACTTATGTTGCACCCGT